TAAGAGATAAAGAATGAAAGGGAGGAAAAGTGCATCTTGGGTCCAATATAAATAAATATTGGGTGGTTATATGAACCGTTAACACATAAGGGACTTCTGTGGTTCCTGCTTTGACCTTCTAAGCATATTTTCAAGCACAACAATTAGGCATTTCCCAAGAAATTACCAATCCTAATGGTCAAATGTGGGTCAAAGGCCAATCTCCTACAACCCCCATCTCTGAGGGTAAAAATGATTGATAACCAAATGAGAATATTTGACGACAGGCCAATTTTACTCAACTTATTTTTTAATAATGGGAAAGTAAAGAGAGCCATAATTTTTCAAGGGCTTTTAAGCACTAAGGTCAGGGAGACACGGGATGGATCCCCATTCTTGACTATCCAAAATAAACAAACCCCAAATCCAACGTTTCAGTCACAGCTACATAATCTCAGTCTTGTGCCTAAAAAAAAAACAAACAAACAAAAAAATCCTCATTAAGCCCAGGTACATGGGACAGGGATCATAAACTTTAGCAAGAAGCACATTTTTAGGTTACTTTCAGCCCCGCAGGTATCCGTGAAGCCTGAGGAATCAGGGCGAGCTCAGAAGGGCGGGAAGGAGAGGCAACCCTGGGAGAGACGCTCAGAGGGCTGAGAATTGCCCGGCGCTTAGGAGCACCAAGGCCCCCAGGCAGGCTCGAAGCTCCCAGGAGGTTAGCCCGCGAGTGGTGAAGGCTGGAGGACGGGGGTATTTGCCGACAGCAAGCCCGGCAAGGGGCCCAGAGAAGTGGCCCAGTACCTCACTGCCTAGACGCCTAGCAAGCGGGGTTTGAGAAAAGCCTTGAACCCGAAGTCCTCATCACTTCCGGCATGGCAAACCTCAATGAAAAGGAACCTTTGGGGGCCCCTTAGCCCACCTTGCCTGGGCTTTAGAGAGGTCTGAGTGTACTCCTCCCCTACCTTCTCCAGTGTCTGCTCGTAACCCTCCTCCTCCCTGTTGAGCACCCACTGGCGCCCTAGGGCTGGGCTCCCTTGATCCCTGGAATAATTCAGGGCACCCTGTTCGCCCTTGAACGTGCCTCTAGCGTGGCCCAAATGGCACTAGGTGCTCCAAACCCGCCGGGCACCCAGTCAGTCCTTCTGCAAGGTGGCCGCCCTCGCGGAAACCACGCGGGACTGGCGAGCGGTAAAGCAATTGCAAGGGCAATAAAAAGCAGCTCAGTGGGTCCCCCAGATCCTTTCTTGTCCACCTCACTGTCCCCGGCTTACCCCCTCCCTCCGCCTGCAGAAACAATCAAACAAAGGCTCAAAAGCCAGGAAATGTCCAATTCACTTCCCTTAGAGTTTATTAATCGCCCACACCCATCACAGGGACACTTGGCTGTGCTCCGTGAGGAACGGAGGGCTCCGGGGAGCCTCAGTCACCACCACCCCTGCGCAGCGGGAAGCCACAAGCGCCAGCCTGGGCATCCCCGAGACCGGGTCCTATAGCCTCAAGGCGGCTGAGCGCGGCGGGGCCGCCGGGTTCGGGCCAGCTCGGCGTTCACAGTCCCTCCTCAGCCTCCTCCTGCCTTTGTTTGGCTCTGGAAGGAGGTTGGGATTCCGGGTGCAACAGGGAAGTCTGAAAATCGATGCTCCCCAAGAGCACCTGTTGACCCCAGAAAGGGCATTTCCATAGATTGCCACGTTGCTGCCCCCACACAAGCACCTCCGCGGCAAAAGCGCAGATAAGGGCATGAGTTTTAGGGTCGGCCCTGACAACCAGCAGCACCGCAGAATCATGGAACATGGAGCTGAATCCACAGATGGGAACTGGCATAACGACTTCTATACACTCCTGCATGCCTTCTTCTTCTTCTTTTTTTTTTTTTGGAAACCATTATTATTTTCTTCAACGCCCTGGAAATTGCTGGTGTTTATTTAGGAAGTGTGACACAGTTATTAGGTTCTTAGGAACTCGGGATGTTAAGGGGGTTTGATTTGGCTCCCAAATGGCTTGAAAAAGAAACAGCGCACCTGGGGTCAGGCGGGTCATCACAATAACAAAAAGCGCGTCTACAAAATAAAAAGCTCTTTTATAAAGAAAGGCAATCCCGGAAATCCACTGCGAGCCTTCCTGGTGACCATCTAGCTAGGCCTATTCTCAGGTTTAATTGGCAGGCGGTTTATTGGCGCCTTATTGGTGTTGATTGAAATTTTGCTCCCAGTTCTTTCTTTTAAGAATTAGCATCTCAAGTCGATTTACCTGAGTCAATTATCTTTTTAGAGTCTGGGTTTGGCCATAAATTTGCAAATATTCATTAAACGCACTTTGTAAATATCCCTCTTTCCAATCGCCACCCAAATGTCTATTATTTCCTAAGAAAGTCTTTTCTTTTTTAAGGCTTCCATAAAAAGAAATTGATCAGGGAGCTATATTTGAATTAAGACATATTAAATCGATGACAGATACATATCATGCTGTGTTTAACAAGAGTTGTACAAGGAGGCGGGTTCCAGATTCCGCACGGCTCTGCTGCACCATTATTCACATTTTTACAGCCTTTCCTTCATGCCTTCACCCATTAAACCATTAAATTTCAGCAATTCAATAAAACAAAGCAGTTATAATTTTGAGGAAAAGCTATTTTGGAGGGGATGGAGGTACCCATTTTATTGCACAATAAAAATGCTCAGTAGTCCATATTAAAAGGTAGGTTGTGTTTATTTTCTTCTTTCTTTATTCGTCCATTTTTTGTTTGTTTTTACTTATAACCTGCAGGATTGAATGCAAAGCTGCTATTATGGAAGTAGTGATGATCATTGCCAAGAAATTCAAATAAGGGAAACTCCTTTGAAATGTTCTGAGAGAGGATGGAGACAGTGGTGACAATTCCAAATACGCTTTCCCAGAAACCATCCATAGAGATGGCAGTCCTCACTACACTTTTGCCTGGTTGGCTTGAGACGTTTTAAGTCTTTGAAAGGAAAATTGTGAAAGGACTCATCCTCTCCAAATACAGATGCGGATTTTGTCGCTGCTGTTTATTAATTTTTTTTCGTTGTGTTTGCACTCATGCCTTTCTTATTTCCCCGTATTTGAACTTCATTGAGGCTTAAAGAACAAACCTATTTGAAATTTGATTGTAGTATTTTCTTTGTTTGCTTGTCAGTTTTGTAAGAGGAATGACATTCCCAAGGCTCACAGGGAAGTTCCCTGTTAAACATTGCTCACACCGATGTAAATGGGGCTATCAAATCAGTTCTTTTGAAAATATTTCTTACCACTTCCCAGGACCATCTCCTAGGACCATAAAGATGATGGCTTTATGCAGTCTATTTTTACTTGGACTGCAAACGAATTAAACTGGTAACTTGTTTTTTGCATCCCCAAAGGGGGGGGGATCACATTTTAGTCATTATCACTTTTTTTTTTTACAAATAATCTTATGCAGGCCAACAAAATAAAAATTTAAACACCTGACTTTTAATTTTTTAGCATCTTGGAACATCACAAAATCTTAAAGTGTTTTCTTTTTAAGAGCTGAAGTGATACTTTTGGGCAGCAACAACCCTAAAGTTTGGGGATGCCACATTTCTCCACACACACCTCCCCCCCCCCCCAGAAGTGATGCAGGAACCTATTTCTCTTTTTAAAGAGGTGTGATAACAAACAAATCCTTTGAAAAGGATGGGGCTTGTTTTTTGTTTTTAAAGCCAGTTTATATAGTTTTCAAATAAGACAAATCGCCTTCTCTATTAGTTTACTAGAAAACGATGACAAGGTAAAGGGTTATTCTATTAGTAAGTAAATATCGAAAGTATTGCTTGATTTTAAAATATTCATTTTATTGGATCAGTTTTAATTTGTGGTCCTTTCAATGAAACTGAGGCACACATATGGAGTGCTTTCTGGGCTGGAAAGAAATTCTGCGTAAAGGATATTGTTTACTTAGCCGCTTCCCTCTGGAGAGATGCTGTTTGGCCTGCCCCTGCCACTGTATCTCAGAGAGGCAAAAGTTAGAATCGCTGCCCAATGTTCTCCCACCCCCACCCGTAGATCTAATTCAAAGTGGCAGATCTAGAACTGAGGAGCAGTGAGATTACACTTCGAGCCAACTCCTTTGAACCACGTTGAAAAGGACTGCAGGAGCTAAAAAGTCGAGGCAAAACGGTTCCTTTTCGGGAAAGATTTATTTTGACTTCACCTGGTGTCTTGCGGAGCCAAATCACTTAAATTGTTTTTGCAACTAATAGGACTTTAATATCCCTCCTCATTCCGTCGCCTGTCGCTGCGCCCTACGTGAGCGCTCGGCAGATTGGGTGTCCTTCCCAAATAAGAACTTTCTAGCATCACCTCCACAAGTACGACGACGGCTATATTCTGTTCCCCTTCCTCCTCCAGAGAGCAGCCCAGGGCTCTTCCAACGGAGGAGGGAGAAAGTGTTTGCATGGTGGAGGAGACGCTGCGTGCGGTGAGGCGGAGGTTTTTGAAGCTGGGGGCTATCCCCCTCCCTCCTTTTGTCCGGGGGTTGGGGGTGTCTCCAGCCCTTACCCACGCCGCGCCCTTCGGCCGCGTGCCGGCGCACGCTCTCCGACAGGCGCGTCATGGGAACGCGGGGCGCTGCGCGCGCAGGCCCAGCGCAAACTTTCTGCAAGTGCAACTTGGGCATCCCCTGGAAGGCGGGGACGCAGGGCTCCAGGGGAGGAGGGGGCGCGAAGCGAAAGCGAAGGAGGCTGCGAGCACGGGGGCGGATCCCTGCTGGGCCGAAGGCCTGAATGGGAGCCAATCCGGCAGCCGTGGCTGCTGCCAATCACGCTGTTCCCTCCAATCCCACCCGTGCCATTTCCAAAAATCTCGGTCCCACTGTGCAGCTCAAATGTGGTGTTCGCTCTGCCAATCGCTGGAGGACAGAGTGGGAACAGGAATAAGCAGAGTTAGGCCAGGACAAAGAAGTTAAAGAGAGCCTAATATATACATGTTTTTGAAGGTGGGCAGAGGGAAAAAAAGTCCCCCCAGTGAGGGTCTATGGGTCTGATTGTGTAGTTCTGATGGAGCCCCCCTTGAGCAAGAGGAACCCGCCAGCGCTGAGATTAGCGGATTTGGCAACGGCTCAGGCCAGGCCGCTTCAGAATATGACAGGCTTCCCGGCGCTGGCCAGCCCGCCCTCCCACTCCCAACTCCGCGCCACAGCCACGCACCTCCGCCCTCGGGACCTGAGCGCTGACCCCGGCGTGGCCATCACTCCGCTCGGACCCGAGCACATGGCTCAAGCGAGCGCGGTCGGCCTCAGCCCTCCCTCCCAGGCGCTCCCGGCACAGCCCGAGGCGCCGGCGGCCGCCGCCCGCGCTGCAGCCTCGGTCGCGCACCCCGGCGCCTGCACCTACCCCGGTGGCGGGGGCAGCAGCCGCGCGCAGCCCTCCGCGCCCCCGCCCCCAGCCCCTCCTCTTCCTCCCTCCCCTTCACCTCCTCCTCCTCCCCCTCCCCCTCCTCCTGCCCTCTCGGGCTACACCACCACCGACAGTGGCGGCGGCGGCAGCAGCGGCAAAGGCCACAGCAGGGACTTCGTCCTCCGGAGGGACCTTTCCGCCACGGCCCCCGCGGCGGCCATGCACGGGGTCCCGCTTGGAGGGGAGCAGCGGTCTGGCACGGGCTCCCCCCAGCACTCGGCCCCGCCTCCCCACTCGGCCGGCATGTTCATCTCGGCCAGCGGCACCTACGCGGGCCCGGACGGCAGCGGCGGCGGGGGCCCGGCGCTCTTCCCTGCGCTGCACGACGCTCCGGGAGCCCCCGGCGGCCACCCGCACCCGCTCAACGGCCAGATGCGCCTGGGGCTGGCGGCGGCAGCGGCAGCCGCCGCGGCTGAGCTGTACGGCCGCACCGAGCCGCCCTTCGCGCCGCGCTCGGGGGATGCGCACTACGGGGCGGTGGCGGCTGCTGCAGCCGCCGCCCTGCACGGCTACGGAGCCGTGAACTTAAACCTGAACCTGGCGGCCGCGGCGGCGGCCGCGGCGGCCGGGCCGGGGCCCCACCTGCAGCACCACGCGCCGCCCCCGGCGCCGCCGCCGCCGCCGCCGCCGGCGCCCGCGCAGCACCCGCACCACCCCCACCTCCCAGGGGCGGCCGGGGCCTTCCTGCGCTACATGCGGCAGCCAATCAAGCAGGAGCTCATCTGCAAGTGGATCGACCCCGACGAGCTGGCCGGGCCGCCGCCGCCGCCGCCACCGCCCCCGGCCGGCGGCGCCAAGCCCTGCTCCAAAACTTTCGGCACCATGCACGAGCTGGTGAACCACGTCACGGTGGAGCACGTGGGCGGCCCCGAGCAGAGCAACCACGTCTGCTTCTGGGAGGACTGTCCGCGCGAGGGCAAGCCCTTCAAGGCCAAATACAAGCTCATCAACCACATCCGCGTGCACACGGGCGAGAAGCCCTTTCCCTGCCCGTTCCCGGGCTGCGGCAAGGTCTTCGCGCGCTCCGAGAACCTCAAGATCCACAAGCGCACTCATACAGGTGGGTGTCTGTCCCCGGCCGCGTCGCCGCCGCCGCCTCCCGCGCCGCCGCCGCTTCCGCCGCTGCTTCTCCTCCTCCTCCTCCTCCTCCTCCTGCTCGCCTTAATTTCTCTCTCCTGCTGCTGCTTCTCTTCGCATACGTATAACCCGGACATGTGACTTCTTTTTTTTCTCTCCCCCCCTTTTTTTCTATGAATAAGTAATTCGATAGCACACACAGGCCCCGCGCTGGGTTCCCACACGGTGGAGTCTCCAGCGCGTCCACAGCCCCTCGGCCGGGACCGGCAACGCGCTCCAGCCGCCGCCGCCGCCGCCCCGGAACAGAAGCAGCAGCAGTCGGAGCAGGAAGGCGCCCAGGACGGTCGGCAGCCCCCGTTCGCCCGGCCCCGGGAACCTGGGGAGGGCGATGGGGAAGGGAGGCCGGAGCCGGAACAGCCCCGGTGGCTCTTCCTTCCTCCCCACCCGGTGGCAGACCCCTTGCGGTCGCCGTGCTCCGAAGAGCGGGCGTGCGAGGGGGCACGTGGGATTTGCTCCAGTACTGAGGCCACTAGGCCCAGCTCGATGCGGTCCCAACAGGAGGGGAGGGGTCCAGTCCCTCCGGGGCGTGGTGCAAAATGCCAAAGGAATGCGCCCATGGGCCCCCGAAGACCTCCCCCCAACACACTCACGCACCCCACAGGTACATCTTCACGTGCACACAACCCACAAACCACTTTACGCAGCCGCATCTGATACTGCCCATCTCAGCCTCATTGCTGGAGCGCCCAAATGCTCTGACACACTCCTCTTCCACATACACCCTCACGCACACTTCCTCATTTACACACCTTCGTACACACCGATGCTCATACACGTAGCATCACACACCTCTATCACACACATTCACACATGCTCGAGAAGGTGCTGGAGAAATTTGCTCTGTCCTTTCAAAAAAGGTTCTAGTTGGAGGAGAACAGGGTGAGCTAAAGTCTCCTGCGGTCGTTGGTACCTGCCCCGCGGAGGAACTTGGGGGGAAACCCCCGGCGCCGTGGCGACCCCTCCCATCCCAGTCCCCCATCCTACCCCCCCCCGTGAAGGCGGCTGCGGCGTGGGCCGGTGGGGTGTTTCCTGTGGGTCGTGTGCCCCCATCTAACGGGCGAGCGCTTTGGGCGGAAGCGCTGATGAGCGCGAGCAGTCGGGATTTATAGGGACAGACAATATTACCCCTCGGAGGACACTTAAGTAACTGGAGTTTACATTCAGTAATTACTTAGCTGATTTATCGGCGCTGGGCGGCGAGGAGGCAGCCGCCGCGCGTGGGCCCAACGCCTGGCTAGCGGCCGGGGCCGAGGGCACCAGGGGGCACCAGGGGCATCTGCGGGCGAAGCCGGGTCGGGGTGACCCAGGTCCGGCCCGGCGCCTTGCAACTGTCGGCCAGCATCGGACAGGCCTCATGTGGACCGATGATGGGCCGGGAAGAAGTCTTCCCGGGAACTCCCTGGGCCATCCCCGTTTTTCGAATCGGGATCGGTCCGCCCTAGGGAGTTTTCCAAAAGGAAAAACTTCCCTTGAGGCTTTTGGAAAAACTCCCGTGGCCCGCTTAGGCAGGTTTGCCCCTATGCCCAGCACTTGCCGCCGGGACAGGGGCCTGGGACCGTTAAGGAGGCACGCGGGGCGCAGGAGGTGAAGCTGCCCCCAACCCCGTCCCCAGTGGGCACCCTGAAAGCAGAGCCTGCGTCTTCGGGCCCTTCCCGCCTTTCCAGGCCTCAGAGAGAGAGTGGACCTTTCTTTTCGCGGCGGCCGGAGCTGAGGGCAGTTTCTGCCCGGGTGGAGCAAGGAACTGGAATTGCGGACGCGGAAGCTGTCCGGGGTCCCCGCTCCCTCGGACGACGGCCCCGGGGAGAGGGGCGTGCGCGCGCGCGCGCGCCGGGGCGGAGATCCGGGCCGCTGGGGGGGCCCCCGGGCGGTGGTGCTTTCTGGTTCCACGGCGTGCGCAGGGTTACCTCTCCTGCCCGGCTGCTGGAGACCGCGTGCTTCTCGCCGGGGCCCTCCGGGAGGGATGCCAGCGACTCACGTTCGTGCTCAAACCCGCGCCTGGGGATTTTGGCGGTCCTTGGGCCGCCTAGCCCTGGCGCATTGTGTGCGGCGAGGGACCATCCGGGACCCCCCTCCCCCCCCCACCACGGCGCTCTCCCTTTTGGGGGTTATCAGGGATCCCGGAACAGATTGATCAAAGGAAATAATCCCCCAGCCACTCCTGAAGGCCCATTTCCTGACCCACGTGCCCCCAATTCGGTTTATAACCTTCCTTTGGGCCGGACTCGAGTTCTCTCCGGGAGTAGCTCACGTAGCGTCCCTTACTCTCAAATTCTGCAAGTAGTTAAATTCTGATTGACCCCTCTGTCAGAATCTGAAATGTAAACACTGGGGTCTCTCACCCTTTCCAGTTAGCTAGAATTTGCTCACTGCCCCCCTTAGGCCCCCTGAATAAAACAGGCAATCCTTTCACCTTTACTTCCCCCACCCTTCTACTTTCTTCCTCTGCCTGTCCTTCATCCCTACTTTTCTACTTTTTTTCCCCCTCCATTCCACATCTCCCTTCACTGGGCCTAATTACTTGTCTTTATCGTGGGCAGTGGCGGGGCCAGCAGAGTTGAAGCTGTGTGCATTCTTCACAATCCGGGATATGTAGCGAGCACCGAAACAGGAGAACTCCACAGACAGCACTGAATATTTCCAAAGGATGAATAAAGCCACTTAGGCCTACATATTGAAGAAAGGCTGATTAAAATTTTTTAAATAATGCTACATTAAATTAGTATTATCTCCCATTTAAAGTAGAACACAGAAGTCAGGACAGATAACTGATGTTTTGATAAAAAGTGATTAACATTTTTTTGTTGGTGTTGCAGCTCATCTGCAGAGAAGGTTGTGATGATTGTGTTATGTTGTGTTTTTCCCTGTATAGATCAATGCAGGACGTATATTTGAATAATATCTGATTTCATGTTTAGACAGTAATCCAGGGTGGGATAAGTTATATTCCAGGCATCTGAATACTTTCAGACCTGTTACTACGCTCTGGCGCTGAAGCAGTTAGCATTGGTGAAATTAAAACAGCAACAACAAACACTGCACTGAAATATTTGTATAAGAAAACTCACCACAAAAATTTATAAATACTAAGCTGTTTTAATAGTTATTTGTTTTTTTTTAAATATATATTATCCCAAACCAAGAAAAAAGCTACCAGAGTAGCTGCCGGAATGTAGAGAAATTCAACTTTATTTTAAAAACCATGTAAAGTATTATTGAACAAAAATATGTCTGAGATGACTTGTTCAATCATGACTAAATACATCAAGTTCATAGATACTTAGGTGAGAGAGAAAATTCATACTGTTACCTGCCATCTTCCTTTTTTGCTTTTTAACGCCAAAGGTATATGGCTGAATTTTTATTAAGCATTTCCACTTCCTGCAGTAGGGGCCTTGTGTTTAAAGGCATTGTGTTCCTGAGGTGGTTAGAGCAGCTTCAAGGGGCGATGGGCCAAAGACTGGTAAACAGTCCCTTTTCTGCTGCGTAAGTAAGGTAGAAAGCTGTCAGCCTCGGTTTCCATAGAGCACCATAGAGCATCAGGTACATGCTCGCTTCTGGTGGAGGCTTGTGGGCCTTACTAACATTTGCTAAGGTTCTGTTCCGTAGGCTCTTATTGCTCTGCAAGTTGGGAGAGAAGGTGGTAGAATGAAGAGGAGATCGGCCTAGTCTCTGCCCAGCCAGGCTTGTAAAAAATCTAGTGATGGGATTGTGTGTCTCACAGGTGCCTTTGTTTCTGAAGAGAACAGGATTTGGCTTTATTTCATTTCCTTTTCCATCAGTGGAATCCTGGGGCCGCTCTGAAACAAAATGCCATTATTATAATTTTATGGCACCACCCCCACTTCACTTTTAATTTAGTGGACTTGCTTACTTTTCTTCTCTTCTTCTTATATCCTTCCCCCAAGCTGTGGATTTGGAGGAATCATTTTATCAGCATTTATCTTGACAGGAGATCTGCTTATATTTTTGCAGGTACAGACCCTGAGGGCAGTGAGGACCTGGGTATTTGGGTCCTCATTGGGTTTTGGTGTTGCCTCCTGGACCATGCCCTAGCCATTCCGGCCCCCCCACCCCCCCAGCCCTGTGGTACTGCAGGGACTGACCTCTAGCCTCTTACTAGCCCAGGTCCAGGGAGAGCCTCCAGGCTCATCCCTGAAGTATCCCTTCCCTGTTGCCTTCTGGAACATAGGGATTAGGAGTAGAAACCAAGCCGGGGATTGGTCTTCAAGAGAATGGGGAAATGCTTCCAGATTTCTGCTCCAAGATTTCTCTCTCAAGTGAGGGGTCTCTGGAAAGCAATTGTTGACCTTCGCTATGTTTTGTTGCAGGGGAAAAGCCTTTCAAATGTGAATTTGATGGCTGTGACAGGAAATTTGCCAATAGCAGCGATCGGAAGAAACATTCCCACGTCCACACCAGCGACAAGCCCTACTACTGCAAGATCCGAGGCTGTGACAAGTCCTACACTCACCCCAGCTCTCTGAGGAAGCACATGAAGATTCACTGCAAGTCCCCACCACCTTCTCCAGGAGCCCTTGGTTACTCATCAGTGGGGACTCCAGTGGGTGCCCCCTTGTCCCCTGTGCTGGACCCAACCAGGAGTCGCTCTAGCACTCTGTCCCCTCAGGTGACCAACCTCAATGAGTGGTATGTTTGCCAGGCCAGTGGAGCACCCAGCCACCTTCACACACCTTCCAGCAACGGAAGTACTTCGGAGTCTGAAGATGAGGAGATGTATGGGCACTCGGAAGTTGCGCGGACGATACATTAGAATTTTCTTGTAATAATAATAATAAGTCATAAGTGGGAGTCCTTGGACCATATCCTAACCTGAGACAATACCGAGCCTGAGACAAACCCTTGACTCAGACTTGCCACCGGGTCTAATTAGCCCTATTTATTCAGTATGAAACCCTATGGTGTTTGTACATTTAATTAATTTAATTAAGATATTTGGGCTTTTTTTCCTTCCTTCTTCTTCTTAGAAAACAAACAAAAAAAAAACAACCAAGCTGGACTTGTACGTTGCAGGGGGGACAGGGCTAGGAGCAAAATGTACCGAGGGTTAATGGAGATACACACTGCCAATGCAATATACGTGTACTTTGAAAGGAGCGAGAAAACGCATGAAGTCAGAACTCCACAGAGCAACAAGGCCCTCTGCATTTCCTGCCGTGCCTCGAGAATGCCTTTAACACCATACCGTGGGCTTCTTTGGAGACTCTTCACCTCCTCCTTGGGCCCTAATTCTAAAAAGGCCTCTTGATTGTAAACCACACACTTGCTGCATTGCCAACAGATCTTAGACTGTACCTGTGTCCAAAAATCTTTGTAAAAACCCTTTAAGTCCTGATAGTTGTAATTTTAAATTTCCACTCTTTTATTACTGATCTCATCTTAACACGCTATTTTTATACAGGATTGTTTCCTCAGTACCCCGCTTGTATGATTTAAAGAAAAAAAGATGCAGCAAACTTAGTACGTCTCCATTTATTGTGCCACTGTGATTGTTCCAGCAAAAAAGTGGAGAGAGGAGAAAGCTGCTGCAGTAGGCAACTGTGAAACTGTGATATTTTGTGAAATAGAAGAAATTCAAGTGCTTTCTTTTCTCTCTCTCTCTCTTTTTTTTTTTTAATCTGAAATCTCAGATGCCGCCTCTTGACTGGGTCCAAACTTCTCGTGTAATGAAAAGATCAGTCTTACATAAGTTTTTTGGGGATGCCTAAATTAACAGGCAAGTCTGAGGAGGTGTGATGTTGGCAACATGCCTATTTTTGGGGAAAACTGTTGTTTTAAAAACAGGCCAAGCCCTCTTTTATACTGTTGTATCAACCTTTTAAAAAGTCTTTATTTTTCAATGCCCCAAACTGCATTTTCGTGCATTTTTTTTTTTCCCACCTGAGCACCGAGCACACGGAACTGGATCCCATTTGAAAATGACAAGTGTGTGAAGTGTATGATTTACATTAAAAGAGGGGAGGGAGTTGCTATACATATTAAAAATTTTAAAAGGTTTATAGTTACCACCAAACACTGATGAATGTGTGACCTCTGACAGAGCTGTCAGGCCAGAATAAAAAAGGTCAAGGACCTAGGACAATAACTCTTAGTCAATTTATTTTCAGTTCGTGCAACACATCTCCTGCAAAATATAGTCCATCATAAACATCATACAAATATCCTAAAGAGCACTAATTTATCCTCAGAGACCCTGAAACCATCCCCTCCCCAGGGTTTGTAGAAATTTGTTTTGTGTGCTGTGAGTGGTTGATGCAGTCTTGTCATTGTTAATAACTTGTATGTGAACACCTATTATTTGTACAGTTGAATTAATTTATTTTCAGACATCATCCTTTGTTTTTCCTGGAAGAGTTCAGAGCACACCAAAGAATTATATTATACATTTTGGTGAAAGAGTGTTGTTTATGACCCACGGTTTATTTAAGGGAAAAAAAAAGGACAGAAAATGGGGGAATATATTTTTAAGCTTACTTGAATGAACAACGTAATGTGAAAACCAGGACTCTTCCTGCATGTCTTTTTTGCATTGTGTTGACAAGATTATATATAGTTTATAGATATATTATATTACTAGTACAGTGCATGGTGCTGTCACTTTGAAAGCCTTTCAATGTTGTCTTCAGATTGTTACAGTGGATATGAAACATGCAGACCCTCCTTTATAAAGAAAAAGACCATAAAACTTGAATATAAAATAATTCTACATTTTTTAAAGTTTATTTGATTTTCATATTATTCACTTTCAAAGCTCTTTCAAATAGACAAAGTAGCTATGAACTTTGGGGGGATAATTTATCGTAAACTTATTAGAACAAAATATTCCTGATTTATAATGAGTTGTTTTATTTATACAACTTTTTCAATGGTAGTTTGCACTATTCTTTATTATGCTACAGGTTTATTTATTATGAAACAAAGGAATATGTATTTTATGTATTTTGCCATGCATAGGTTTACTCTGCCACAGATTTATTGGTTCCTGATACACCTAAAATGAAAACTTAAAATGTGTACCTCCAATAGAAAGCAAGCAAGAATGATTATGAAGTAAAAAATTTAATAAAGGTATTCTTCCTATGTATTGTTTATGTTTTACCTAATGGTATATTTCTGCCATTCTCTTACAAACAGAACAGGTTGCTGACCAGTGAACATTGGGTTCTCTTGAGCTCTTTATTCTTAGCCTCTCCCCAAGCAATAAAATATTTGTACAGCTTGGTTTAATTTACAATCTAATCTAGAAAATACAATGTATATATGAAGACTAAGCCCTGTAAGTTGCGTGTAACACTAGCATAAATCTTAGGGGTTACTGCAGTCATTTGTTAATAATATCCTTAGTGATCCTAATCACTGAAAATCTGAGAAGTGAATTTGAGCATTTCTTCGGTGCCTAGCTTCTGAAGTAAAAGGGTAAAAATGAAGAAAAGATGCAGGGACAGTGAGAGGCTTCCAGACACAAAAGAAGGTAAAATCAGGAGTTGGGATGGGTGCAGAGTTAAAAGCATGCTGAATGAAGATTGGGCATCAAATACCTCTCACCATCAGGTAATGGGGGTTGGGGGGTGGGGGCTGCTTCCAGTTTGATGGTGGTGTATTTGCAAGTTGAGCTGATCTAGGAATCCTAACTCAGCATTTTTAGGCATGTGGTAGCTAGAAATTAGACTCATGGCAACAAAATATCCAAGTGGCTCAAACTAATGTAATTGGCTATGCACATGAACAGGGCTGATCCTGGGCTTGTTTTTCATTTAGCTGATACAAAACTGATAAAAGGCAAATAGTTATAAAAAAAAAATTGGTAGTAATGTCAATAAGCAGTTCTCTGAAAGGTTATGGTGGTTTTTAAAAGTCAGGTTTGTTAATGTAGTGAAGGTGAAACCCATCGCAAAGAGTTGTTTTAAGCCAGATGACAATAACCAGCACACGAAGTAAAAAACACCCATAGCTAAGGGCCCCAATCAATGGGAAAACTTATAGCTCTCTAATGAAGTTTCTCGTGAAAGGGGTGACACAAAGCCACCAAGACATGAATCATTCATGGGAAATATAAAAGATAAAAGATATCTGACAATGAGCAGAACCTTGTATAGAGTGTATAAAACAAGTTTCCCCTTCTTATTTTCTGCTTTAAAACGCACAATCTCCCACTCCCAGAGTTCTCTGTCCAGTCTATAGAGTTAAAATTGACCACTGCTCGTCCTCCGCTACTTCAAAGTAATTTAGTCCAGAACGGAAGGCTTGGCGCTTGGACAATCTTCATGGTGTGTTAAGATTTCTATGGCAATTGGCAAGCAAGACGTCCCCATCTGAATATGTCTCAAAGAAAGCCACTTATTGACACTAAGTTGGCTATCATCAAAGACTTCATCTCTCCTAGGCAAAACGTCACCCTTGTGGCCCTCACAAACATTTTAAATCATCTACCTTTGTTTTCCGGGCTAGGAGAATCTTCCAACACATGGTTATTTGTAGTGGATGTCTATCTTTTCCCCATTCAGGACTTTCTTTGGTAAAACTCATGCTCCAAAAATCTAAAGCACTGAGAAATAGCTTGAGGGTGGGAATTCTATTCTTTTAAGGAGTTGGAGATGGCCACACAAGAGGGATAGCACTGGGGACAGGAAAGGAGGAGGCCGAAAGTCCTTGAAAGTGAGGCCCAACTATCTGCCGATGTGTTTGTACCGCAGTCTTGTCATTTACTAAATCTTGCATTTTGTGGAAGTTGTTTGAGACCATAGTGGTTCATTCTGCCTATCTACCTACCCACCTAGCATCTAATCTATTATCTATCTATCTATCTATCATCTCTTTCTCTATGAAATGGGATGAGAGATGTTCCCCCTGAAGGAATTTTTAGCCCAGTTTGGTTAGGAAATAGGACTGGGGGGAGGGGGGGAGATAATCTGTTTTTTCCAGTGATCCTCTAAATCAGAGGAAAGGAAAGCTGAATACAAGAGAAACAATCCAGACGCTTATTAATACTTTCAGCCCGTCACATCACACTCCCTATCATCTACCAAAATAGACACATGGCCCTGAAAACCCACCCTCCGGAGCTGGAGGGATGGCTAAGGAGACCCACAGTGACACTGCCCAGGGGTTACCAGCCCACCACTTTCCCTACGTGAACAAAAACTCACAGACCATCCTCCCCCCACGCCCACGCCCAAACACTCCCGGGGCACACACATTCACACAGGGCACAAGTGCCTAATCAGGCAGGGAGAAGTTCAAAGACATGTTCTTTGAAATTCAAACTACTGCTTTTATGGCACACCCACGCCGAGCGTGAGGATTGCTATGGCAATGGGCTGGGCCAGGGCAGTCGCGGGCAGAGGCTCCGCAGCGATTGGAGACACTCTATTAAGATACAGTTGCAGTGACCTGTAACTTTCATGCCAACTTAGCGCCCTCGATTTTCACCTCGTCGCAAACACACGTATTACATATAATGTTGCCCATATAATATGACACGCACGACCTATATAATAACATAAGTCTTTCCACCCACTTGTTGTTACGGTCTCCCATTGAACCTGCTAGCTCGCGAGAAAGGGGAGAGGGAGACAGGGGAGAGGAAGAGAGAAAGCCGGGTGGGGGTGGGGTGGGCGCACTTAGAGGAGGGGACCGAGCGGGGGGCACCCGGGTTCCAGTTCCTCTTCCTTCTCTCCCCACCTAAGTACTTTTATTTGCAGAGCGATTGTTCTTTGTTTATTTAATACAAGTACTGTGTGAATGGTGAAAAATAAACACGATGAAAAATAACCAAACAGATGATTCCTCCGAGTGAAAAAGCCCGGACTTAATAAAAGTGCGAAGCAGTCACCGCTGAATGAGAAACCCTTTGAAGTGGAACTTATTATAGGAGGAATACTTTGGGGTTGCCTTAACGACGCCGCTGAATCGAAAGCGCTCGCCTTTGTCAGCGATTTGTTCTCCTTTGCTGGGGTGCCCGGAGAAATTACTTACATGGGCTGCCTTAACATGCAGCCTGCAAATCAGTAACTTTGCAGCTCAGACTTGCAGACGCCACTCGGCAACGGACAAAAAGAAGTCAGGGGGAAACGCACCGAGCTTTCACGCCGAGCCTCTGGGGATGGGGGCGCACGGGCGTGCTGGGGGCGGCAGATAAGAAGTTGTATTACAACTGGCCCCCCTCACCCGGTCTCCCCCAACTCCCCCGCCCCCCGGAGCCGGAGCCGGGCCGGGCCGGCCGCGGGGGCCTCGCGGGTTGCAGGGGAGGCCCGGCCTCTCCCGGGCCCTCCAGCGAGGGGCGCTCTTCCACGTGCTGGCCCGGGCGCGGGACTTTCCCAGCGGTCCCCGCTATATTTAATAAGGGTCGTTTATCACCCAGGCGCTTTGAAGGGTCGCCTCCAGCCCTGTGCCCATTAGAAAGGCGGAGGTGACATTTAAACTCCGTTTTCAAGGATCGCGGGGGGATTTCAATGAAAAGGCAACTCGTTTGTCTTATGAGCCTGGAAACAACCCCCTTCTCGCTCCTTTTGACCACATGGCATAACTCAA